AAAACAAAATTCAGTGTGAAGAAGGAAGATAAGAAATGATATATGAGTTATAAAAAGAAATAATGACTGTAATATAAATAAAGATTATATTATTATATATATATATATATATATAATTTTGGAAATACATTTGTTTTTCTTACATTTTTGTAGGAATTGTTGACGGACAGCAGCGACGATCGTTCGGAATATTGGAATGTCTCCACCAGAAACGGACGCAAGTGCAGAGGAAGACGGGGACGTATTTGTCCAGGATTCCTTAAAGCTTGTAACGCCTTTTTGGCATGTGCCTCCGTATTAGCGACCGCCAGTTTGATATGGCTATTCATCGATGTTCGTCAACAGCTTACCGCTCTACGAACCGAGTTAGACCAAGGTATTGGTCTAATATCTGCAAAGTCCAGCATTAAGCAATTAATCAAGTTAATAATTATAGAAGAAGATATTTGTATCGAACTTGAATTAATATACAATATAATTGTTTTTATATCTAAATATTTAATGTGCACACACACATTGAGATAAAAAATATATTAAATCTTAGAGTAGAGTGAGGCTATTCCATCGTTTCAAGTAATATAAAATTTACGACAATAAGTATGTATTATTTTTTTACAGTAACATGCTTATAACTACCTCATATAATCATAATTGCTTTTTGAAAGCACGATGACCTATAAATGTTCAGTATATACTGTTCAAATACATAAATAGTATCATGAGAAATAGATAAAAAAGCCTCGCTCTAATATTTTTTTTCATAAATAGTAATTAAACATTTATTTATAATAAATATTTACTTAATAAAAAAATGATAGTTAAAATATTAAATGTTTACATTTAGGAAATATTTAGTACTTCCAGTAAATGAAGAGCATACTTTCAAAATGCATTCTGTTCAAAATTTATAATTTTTAGAAAACATGAAAAACAGAAACTACACACTCACAAGAAAACTATGCACTTTACAGAAAATAACAATATGTCAATCAGTAGAATGTGACTAAACAAAATTGCTGTAAATAATTGCTAAAAATGTTAAATAAATACATTTTGTTTGTTTCTAGTCTAGTTAAAAGACATAATGCACTTCGAAACGTTTATATTTTTTTAGTATATAAATTGAGAGACGATGAAAAAATTCTTTTTAAATATCTCAAAATAACTTATAATATGAAGCTTTCAACACTGAACATCTATAACTAAACTGTTCCATCTCATAACTAAAAAAAGATGAAATTTTGAACAAAACATATTTTGGAAGTCTGTTCCTCATATATTCATTAAGTACATTTTTTCAATGTATGAAAAACCGATTTTTGTAAATATTTTTAATTAGAACCTTTCAGAACTTAAGAGTCGTTATGATATCACACAATTCTATATTTTTTTGCACCTTTGTGCTTAATCTCTTTCACGTTACAGTGATAGCGGGCAGCGAGGGTGTTCCGGATGCTTTACAGAAATGCCATTCGTTATCGAGAGATCTCCAAAACAATCAAACAATAATTTTCTCCAGATTGTCCGATCTTAAACAGCAGATAAATAATTTTACGGTACAGGTAAAACTGCACAAGTAACATCAATAATTAGGTTGCGACCAGCTACTGACCGAGATGACTCACACCTTTCTGGATCGATACTTTTGCAGTTGGCACACATTCAACAGGATTTACAAAAAGTACAGGAGTATTTTCAAGCTGCGCCTGAGATGGCCAATTTGCCGAAACGCTTGGACGAATTGTCAACTAGCGTTGCAACATTTGGTAGTCAAATAAGAGATCTCGGGGCCACAGTGAATACCCTGAAAGAGACGAACATGAGGGTACAAGATGCACAGACTACTATGCAACAAAACATTAGCAGTATTAAGGTAAATACGATTGATATTGAAACGAAAATGAAAATAGTAAAGATGAAATTAACTTGTTCATCGCCGTGTTTTTGTAGCACACCATGTTAGAATTGTCGAATATTACTCAAAAACCTCAAATATTGAGCACTGATGAAACGCAAGTTAAGACTGATAAACTAAACCTCACGATATCTCATTTAATAAATAATTTAACGCATGTTAATGAGACCCTGTCGAGCAAATTACAATGGGTCGCCGATGATCAAGGCAATGATCGCGTAAGTATCATGTAATATGTAGATTTTATAATAAATATTTGAAATATATCAAATTGTTACATCTTGTTTTTTATCTCGTTACAGAAAAAATTAGTTTCACTTCAAGAAGCAACGGCGGCCATTAACACAACAATGATGTCTTTGCAAGGGGAATGCGTTAAAATGTCTGAGCAAGCTTCCGTTTTAGCATCGATTCAGCAATTAACAACAAAGGTGCACATCAATTACGAGAATTTACTGATCAGCATTTTACTAATCGTCAATGTGTTTCTAATTAATACAGATGAACGAGGTACGCACAACTGACGTGGAATTAATTGGCAAGTTAAAGCAATTGGAACAATCGTATAACGGACTGAAGAACTCTACCAGCATAATATTCGCGACTGTGTCTGAAATGCAGAATCAGCAACAGATCAATAAGATCAAGTTACCGGTACCATTAAATGGTGATGTGACAACGGAAACGTATCGTGGTGCGATAGGTAAAGTCACATATAAGACCTCTCGTGTAAAGTTTCTACTTTAAATTCATAACCATATTGTCTCATTTGCAGATGTAGATATTACTCAGAGAAAGAATGACAAATCGCAAATATGGCGAAAGCGCAGTTTCAGCGAGCAATAAATGAATCTGGAAGAAACTTGCGTTTGAGAAGAGACTTTCACATGGATGAAAATCGCAATTTGAGAAACTGTGTATTTGTAAATATTAACAAATTAAGCACACGTTATGCATGTACATAGAAAGATATTTATAATATCACATGAGTATCCAGTGGCAATAATCCACCGTGATCCTCGATTGACGTATAATTGCATTGAGAAGAGACTATCGTGAGTGTACCGTGGCCTGAATGAAGCTACTTACGTTGAGCAATAATTCAAAGCGTATTACCATTATTGTTAGCGAAGCGAACGTTCTGTATTCGACCTAGATTAGATACGTCAATTCCTAATAACACTAAATGCGATGTAGCGAGAAAGATAGTTCAGAAATACTATGGAAAGTACAAAGTCGACAGCCGCCTGGAAAACGAATTCTCGGTTGTACAACGTTTAGGAAAATGTTTATATTTAAGTAATGGTAGCGTATACCGAAAATTTTCTACTCTTCTACATTTTGTAGTATGATACGCTATTGTACATTTCTTCGATTTTTTCAGCGTGAATAGAATTCTTTAGATCGTAGAAAAAACTATATATAAATACATGATTCAGGATATCCATGTAAATACAACACAATATTACTTAACGAATAACAGTGTGATAAAATGATAGAAAAGTAATTACACACACACACACATACAACACAATTCTAATTGTAAAATTAATTAAGTTTGGTTTGCATGATTGACAAACCAATTCATTGGCAATATATGTTTCTAACTTTCAGTTTAACGATACATGCACCGTACACTTGAACATACAGTTAAATGTGATGGTTAAAGATGTTAATCTTTCTGCGTCAAATAATTTTCATTGTTGCAGATAGTATTGTAGTAGCTTGATCAAATTTTTTTAACAAAGAACAAGCATTATTTTTGTATTGAGGATGATGACGTTTGCAAAAAGGGATAAACCAAAGTGAGCTTTCCGATAGCTTGTTGCGTCTCGGTACACGAATAAATTGTTTTTTAGCGAATCTTTACGTAACTACAGATAGTAAATGTACAAAGAATTAAACAGTATTCGCATGTAATTATTTCGCTTCATACGGTTATATAGAAAAATCTAGAATATGTTCTAATGTTTCATCACAATAGCATGCGAGAAGTTACTGAAGACCAATTTTTTAAAATATAGTTCTGACTATGTGCATTCGTTTGTGAATTTAGGAAGATAATTACGTGCGAGTACGTGACATAAATCGGCTACAATAATACGAGTGAATTAATAAAAAAAGGAAGGTATTTGGCGAAGTTAATATTATTCTTTTTTATCCTTAGTATATATTATCGAGCATGTGAATCTGATAAGCGATTATTTATTGTTTAATGAAATTCTGAAATGTTAAACGAGAAAAAGAGCTGGTCAAAATTTTTATGCAAAGGACTACTTTGTAATTATATGTATACATATATAGAAAATTAAGTCTCGGTGATGAGTTAGCTTTCAGATATAATACAGTTTATAATGTAACAAACAGAATAGTTGAATAGTTGACTATGAATAGTTTTTATTACAGTGTGTATCAATGGTGTAACTTATGCTCACAGATCATCTTTAATACACTAAACGCATTTTCCAGCAAAAAACACAGATAATACGAAGTATGAGTAAATTATTACATCTTTGTTGTTTTTGAATGTTAAATAAAAATAAAATAAACTGCGTCTCTTGCTGGATAGCATCATCCAGCTTAAAAACTATTCATGATTGTGTTTATACTAGTACTCATAATCAGTTCTTATATTAAAAAAAATACTGTCTTAAATACAGTCTTAAAATATCATAAGTCAATTACAAAACTGTATCAGCATCTTAAAAATATTACTTGAGACGATCTTGAAATAAGATATGATCAGAAGACAAACTATGATACCGGTATCTCTTGTTCGCTATATTATAGTTTACATTATGTATGAAAATTAATTAATTTCCAAGACCTAATTTTCTATGTAATTAGTGTAGGTCTTTTATTTTGCGAATATTCGATATTCGCGAAATCCCAGATACTCTCCTGCCTTAAAACTTTCTATCTCCTTAAATAACGCCGTTGATTTAGGAATCAAATGCGTAATCTCGACATTAATGTTCTTTTTATTTGAGGATAGCAAATTTTTTTTGTTAATTCGTTTCCCCAAGAAACGCAGCCTTCCCGACGCCCTCGTAGCTCACAAAAGTTTACCATACATCTCGGCGTGCCCCGTTCGCATGCCGCTGAGCCTCGCGCGATTGGCTGGGTCTCGTAATTCTGTACGGTGCATCTGGTGCAGCAGATGCGGCGCGTCCCCATAGTCTCCAAGCATCTTCGGTCGCGACTAGATTCTTCTGATCGCGTAATTGCTGATATCGCCGTTTTGACTGGCCGCGTAATTTGGTGAAAATTTGGCGCCCGGATACGAGAGTGCTTACGAGTAAGTACGAGATTACATCCAGCTGATGCTGAATACCCATTTTATCACATTTTATTGTGTCATTTTTTTCGGTGCTGAACGCGAGCCTCGGATTTCTCTGTCGATTTAATTTCGCGTAAGGATCGCTCATAATGTCGCTTCGTAATGTTATACAACGACAAATTTATATATTTTTGTTAAACGTAATTCTGAATAGAAAATTCTTTAATGCATTTCTCTGATTTTCCTGCTGGTCGTTTCTAGCGGTAAATCGACTTTTACTCTTATATCTCACGCGGACGTCTAGCAGTCGCTTTGTTCCGATCGTATACTACGCATTACCATTGTTCGGGAAGTCGAGCTTGAAGGTCATGTCATTGGATAAAGGATAAAATGTCGGAGCTACATTCATCGGTAGAATTTTTTCAGCATCCACAAGTGATTGTTCTTTTCACTTCGTTTGAAAGCCAGCGCTCTTATCGCATCTTGAAAATATCTTGATACTGACAAAAATCGCGACTTTCCGAAATGAGTCATCAATTAGTTGGTACATATCGTTATCATTGCGATTTGTGTGAAATTAGTATTGCGTGTCTTTATGCGGGCCGAAGTGAAGAACGAGACAAAATCCGGGAAAGGGTAAAGATTATTGTTGCGGAAAATACGGCGCGTTTAAACGTAAACAAAGCGTTCGCTCGATCACTGACCCCGCCGATCGCGCGCTTCCGATAGCCCCGAGCGATCGATCGATCCATGATTTTATCACACGATTGAGACTTTATTCGTTATTTATACATATAATTCTAACTAGTTATTCGATCGAATTATTCCGTCTTGATATACGGTATGCATTTTACGTACATATGTCTTTCGTCGCTCTAACTCCTCTCCTTAGTTTATCTCAGTTTCCTGTTCGGTGATCGCTTTTATTTACATAAAGAGGGGAAAGGGTTGCTGCAACCTGCATTTATCTCGTCCACGTTCCCCATGCTTTCAAAATACATTCTCTTTGCTTTCTGAAGCGCGAACTGAGAATTGCTTTAGTAATTATCGAGAGAACTAAGAATTAATATATCTCTAAATGTTTTTTTTTTATAGTAGTAAATTAATATATGAATGTATATTCATATATATATCCATTTATTATATTATATATTCACACACACGCGCACGCGCGTATATGTACGTATGTATATACCGGGCTTAGTCGTTTATTTAAAATATATTTTAATTTAAAAAATATGAGTTATTTAGTATTTTTATTATTTTTATTAAATTTTCAGAATTTTTAAATAGTTTTTATTTTAAATAAGAGTTTATTAATTATTTTACCAAATCCTCTCCCTTGTTGTATAATACGTACAATACATACATATATATAAGTATATATTATTATATATATACATATTATTATATATACATGTATAAATTTTATATACCATATATAATACATTATTGTATCATATGTATATATTAGATTGTTCGAAAAGTTCGTTTCAATCTTTCTCTCTCTCTAGTTCAAAACAGTATATTTAAAAAATCAGTGATTATACCATTCAATAGAGCAAAATTTCAGCTTTAAGAATCTGAGATTTCTTAATTACGGTACGCGATGATTTTTTAAACCGAGTTATGAGTAATTAAAATTCAAATGTTCCTTTACTTAATTCGCGAATAACTCAGGAACAAAAAATCGTAAGAACATTTTTAAAAAACGATTTTGTAGGAAAAGGTTCAAGCTTTCACAATAGGTAGTCAAAATTTTTCGCACATTTTTTTTAGGACACATAAAAGAGCCACAAATAAGTAACAGGAAAATTTTTCATCTTTTTCAGCTCGTAATTTTTTATATGTAAACATTTCCAAATATCCACAGAAACTCAAAAAATATATAGTAATTTTTCGAAAGTAGAGATTTTAATTTTTATAACTTTCTTAAAACTTTCTTAAAACTTAAATTTCGTTCATTTTTTTTACAAATAATAACATACTCTGTATACAATTTTTAGCTAGAAAATTAAAACGAATTTTCTGAACAACCTAAAATACATACACAAATGTTATATATATATATATTTATTTATTTTACGTTTCTTTCGACTTGATCGAGTTTTCCATTCTCGAGGCCATGATCTCTGCGCTGCTGGCCCTCCGAGAGCTCCGATGCAGCTTTACCAAGCTTTACATCCCAGCTGATGCCGGCTTTAAATCCCATAGTACACACATAAACAAAGCGACGTAGCGATCACTGACCCCCACCAACCAATATGCGACGTACGCTCCGCTTCGGGTTTCCGCGGATCCGATTCTCGCTCCATCCTCTAGTCGCTTTGCTTGCCGTTGCTCGCAGTTGCTCTTGTAATCGATCCTCAGCCGCGGATTCCCGACATTCCCGTGCCAACGCCGATGTTTTAATGCTCGATCGATCAATCGCCCCTGCCCTCACTTAAGAATCGATTGTTCTTGTCGATCGATATTCGCCGAGCTTCAGGTCTTCGATCGCGGAATTCACGAAGAATCTCGGAGCGACATAACCTCGTTCTGAAGTATATCTTTCCTCCTGTAAATTATGCGATCGGATAAAATATCCGTATCCATATGAAGGTACGACTGGAAGGGAGATCGAGATTTACGACATCTTGAAACCTGCACGACTTATTAAGTAAAATTACTTTATATACTGTATACATATACATATGTGTATATTTATATACAGTGATGTTTATATTGTTACGAGGTTACTCGCACTTGTCATGATTATCTTAATAAAAACTGTTAGCTTTCGTCGTGGCATTCGGCTATAGAAGTTCCGGGCGCCGTCAGTGCGTCCCGAAACCCGAAAGGGTGAGAAAAAAACAGCCAGTAGGAAAGATAAAAAGAAGCGGAGAATCGCAAAAGGGACAGTGCGCGCGTTGCATTACGTCAGGTCAGGACGAGTGACAGCGAGGAGAGAGAGAGAGAGAGAGAGAGTGAGAGAGGGGGAGGAGAGGGAGAGAGAGGTGGAGGAACGGCTTCTCTTTACATCTGCGCATTTCTCGCGTTCGCTCAGGGGAAAACTCCAAAACAAGCAACATGGCGGACCCGAGCAACGAGCCCGCATCGTCGAGCGGCGTCGCGGAGCAGGTAGCCGCGACAGCGGCGGCCGCCGTCGTCGCGGCCCCGCTGCGCGAGGAACACGACAAGCCCGAGGACTACCACGAGCCTGATAAGAAACGACGCAGAACAGTACGCGCCGAGGACGCCGCGAAAACGGAGCAGAAGTTGGAGCACCGTCTGGGCGGCATCCTCTGCTGCGCAGTATGCCTCGATTTGCCTCGCGCGGCCGTCTATCAGGTAGGTCGGTCCTCCCTTCTCCTTTTCCACCTCCTCCGCATGTGGCAGGAGGTTTGGCATGTAACGAGCAGCTCGTGTCGTAATCGGGGAGATAAATAGAAAAAAGAGCCATTCTCAAATTTATCTCACACGTCTCTGGTATATTCGCGAGTAGAGACGCGCCGGACAATCGTAACGTGCGAGACCACCTCTTTCCCCTCACGTTCCGCATCGTCCTACTCGTGTGGCAGTCCATCGACCCGTTTGAGGTCGATTTTTAGAGCGACACGTTACATATAGACGAGATGGTCGCGCGATCCGATCCTTTGCTCCGCGGAGGATGAATCCAGATCGTTTGTCGTGGATACGTCCTGGTAGGTACTCACCAGGCACAAGTGTAGCCGTCCACCTGAGAAGGCTCTGTCTTACATCGCCCGAGTTTGCATCCCATTTGCATTCCTTCGTCGTCGAAACAAGTGTGACCGAGTCGATTAAGAGCTGCAGATACCTCGCATTGTACGTTTTTAATTCTGAGAAAAGTTTGTATATATACAAAAGCGGAATCTCCCATCGCGTTATTATTGTTATCTTACTGTTCATAGCAGACTGTGCCTTATTCTTCTCCTCCTTTAACTTTATTCCTCTACTAAAAATTCTTTTTCTCTCTCTCTCTCTCTCCGTTTCCATCTTTTGTTTTTCCTTATTTTTTTTTTTTTTTTTACTGTGACAAGTCGCAGTGGCTTGCAGTCTAGGTATGAAACTAATGAATTGTTTCTGTCGAATAGTTGCATTTTTTTATATTTTTTTATTGTCCAAATGTGAATTGTAACATGGATCTTGGTACCAAGCTGGATCACTTCCCTGATGTGTTTTTTGTTTCTATCAACAATACTAAAATATACGCCGAAAACCCAAAAATATAGTAGTAATTTATACAGCCCCCTGTTTTTCATAAACTAAGCTTTATACACAGGTTGAATAATGAGTTTGTCTATTGAGACAAGACAAGACATGTTAAGTTTTCCGCAGGTAGGTGACTTTATATTTTTTTTCTTTATATTAAACAAAAAATGCGTTTGGCAGACTCGACAGTTGAGTAAGCGTTCACTACTATTGATGTATTCTTCTATAGATCTAAAAGTCTGATCTAGAAGAATATATCAACAACAGCAAGAGCGCTCACTCAACTGTTGAATCTGCTCAAAAAATGCAGCCAAAAATGCTGATATATCTATCAGTGAAAATCGCTGTATGACAAACATGTGTGATGTACGAAAGAAATTTTCTCTTTTGCAATATCCACAGATCGATTTGAAGTATTAAAGTTAAGACACGTATGCGCATATCTTTGAGAGGTCAAATATTTCACTTATTTAAGAAATAACATTTTTTCCTGCTATATGAAATTACACGCAGAATTTTTTATGTGCGCATTTACTTATATTTTCACAATTAATTATATCGGTCCCCTCATTATAACTGTACCTGCGTATAACGCGGTATTCATAATTAATTTCAACTACTGGAGAGAGAGATATAGGTAATACCTCTTGGAATCCCTAAACAGGTACCTTAAACAACCTCTAGACGCTCAATATTGTTGTACAGTTATTTTGTACAATATTATTGATATTCCCTTTAAACAGTCTGGAGGCTCAATATAGCCATCAGATAATCAATAATATTGTACAGTATCATGTACAATAACATTGGGTTGTCTAGGGGCTACTTTAAAGAGAATGTAAAGCAGCATTCTCGATTTATTGTGTGTATGCATGCAGCTACTCGTTTAGAACGTTGATCGCAAGAGGGATACACGGTGAACTGTTTGTAGCTATTCCCTAGAACCCGTTCCGTTAATTTTTCATCTCGATACACCTTTCTTTAGAATACTGACGCGAAATATATGGCGTTTAAAGGGATTTATAATAACCATTGTAACGTAGTACGAGAGGTTGTATCACCTATTCTCATATTCTTAATGTTAAACGGACATGTGTGTAAACTCATAGTGTAAAGTCCCTTGTGCAAGCGCACGTAGACGTTTTCATTTATAACACTAAAGACTTATATTCATTGTATTCTTTCAGTTGTAAATTTCTACAAACACTCCACACACACACTCTGCCCCCTTTTGTTTTTACATAGAATCTATCATATTTATAAAAAAAACAAAAAAACGATGTTTGTTTCTGTGACTCACGGAATAACGGAGATTGGAAACCCCGTATCTCTATTAAAACGGTTAGATAAAATAGTGAAGTACTTAAGATTTTAGATCTCCGTAGTTGTTTAGTATATAATATATAATAATATTTGAATCTTACGAAACGCTATGTTTAATATAAGAGACTATCGAGAAGCAGGGAAGATAATCAGAGAGCACAAATGAGAATATAAAGGCAATTGTTAGATTAATGCGAAACCGATGCCCATCAGTTATAGTCAACAGCGAGAGAATGAGAGTGAGGGAGAGAAAGCGAAAACAGAGAAGCAAGAAAAAGATCTGTACAAACTGTATAGTGCAAAACAAAAATAAATATTCTTAAAGGTTATTAGTTAGTTATTTCGCATTAAACACCCCTTTTCACTTGTCCCACGTGTCATCATCCTCGTTTCTTCCCTTCTGTCATTGATATATTGGTATCGTTAAAAGTAATTCTTTAGAAAGTACTCGTGATAACTTAAACAGACAATCTTGATAAGTACATGTTGATAGTTGTGATTAATGAGTATCCGTACGATTTTGTGTTTCAGGTTTAAACTTCAAAGTGATGGTAATATACATGGCATTAATTTTTTGGTTCTATTTGGGTTTAATGATGATTCTGGGGGTTCTGTAGTATATGCAATTAAGATTACGAAACAGAGCATGAACACTATGTGTAACAAAACAAAGTGTTGAGTAGAAAAAAATAGCTTGTTATAACATGTATATTGAATTAATAATGTTGGCTATATGTTTCATATGAAAAAGTGATAAAAATTTGTAAATTAGAAGGTTATACATACATCTTAAATTCGCTTATAAGTATATAACGTACATATATGAGAGATTATATCATAGGTTTAATCTTTTAATAAAAAAAGAAAGAGTTTAGCAAAAAAAAAAAAACAATAATACGCAAGAACGTTAATAATACATGCTGCAATGATGTTCACAGTGTGCTAATGGACACTTGATGTGTGCTGGTTGCTTCACTCATGTCCTCGCAGATGCCAGGCTGCGGGACGAGATGGCAACATGTCCCAATTGCAGAATTGAAATCAGCAAAACCACTGCGTCACGAAATTTGGCAGTCGAAAAAGCCGTGTCTGAGTTACCTGCTGAATGTCAATATTGCGCAAAGGAATTTCCACGAAATTCCTTGGAACACCATGAAGAGGCTATGTGTGAGGAAAGGTAAATTCGTAAGGCAAAATTTACAATCTTACGAAGGTGTCTCATTGACGTTTCTATCTAATGCAACTGATCTTTTAATAATATAATTACAGGTGAACTGCGCAAATACATAGGCAGTTTATTTATGTGCACATAACTTCCCTATGTTTCCTCAAATTTAATATGCCTCGCATTTGAAATGCATGTCCCTAAGTAACATAAGTTTTTTTTCAACCTACTATGCTCTCCTTGTTATACAACATATTTGTGCACGTGTATGCTCATATCCAATGTCTAATTACTTGTACAGGATATCTAGTTGCAAATATAGTAGAATCGGTTGTCCGTGGCGAGGTCCAAATCACGAAATCCCGGAACATGAGAGTCACTGTGTTCATCCTCATCGTACGGGTGCGGACGTGATGGAGGCTTTGCGTGAGATCGATGCCCGCACCTTGGAAGAACGTAGGCTCTATGACAATGTCTTTGATCTTTTGTCCTACGAGAAAATCACGTTCAACGGTCTGTATCAATTGTTGAGTATTATTATAATGCTAGGCAAAACATATTAAAATAATATGTAGATTACTAGATAGAAAATCTATCTAGTTATATGTCATATTTTTTTCCTAGCAGCAATGGAAACTACAATTACATAAATAACTTTTTTGTATCACGACATGTTAATTTTAGCTCTCTTGATTTACTTTTTTATCTTCTCTTCCTTTCTTAGCTACAGATGCTCGAAGATTTATCAATTATCAGTGCAATTTTATTATTTGTAGATTTACAGATGAAGCCGTATCGCACTGATGAATTTATTCATAAACTGTTTTACGAAACTTCTCGATTTGGCGCTTTCAACAATCAGTGGGTAGTAAAGGCCAGAATCAACAGTAATCAACGCGATCCTACTCAAAGTTCAGAGCGGGACATAACTTATCAAGTACGATAAACCGCATGTCTTTATAGTTTCATAGAAAACTTTAAGTATCGTTATTCATATATCATACGTACACGTGTATGTGAGTTAAAAGTAAAAGAGATTATTGAAATATAAATCCGATAACGCGATGTAGACATTGCGATCTAAGTATGAAAATATGTTTCACATAGCTGATACTAAAGACAAAAACTACTTATCCGCTACCAGTTTATTACTTGATCTTGAAAGGCCCGTTCGGCGATATGAAAGTCCATCCGAGAATTCACAGATTTGAATTCACCGAGCAAGAAAACGAGAGTCCATATTTTACATTACCGTTACCGGATACGGCGGAATGCAATAGACTTCTCGCAGCTAAAGCCATCAGTTTTAGGTAAAAGATCGATCTTAGAGAAGAGCTACTGCAGAATTACTTTATTACAATATAATACACAATAGAGTGTAACTCATATGTACAGCGTGTACTTTTTCGTTTGCAGACTAATAATGTTCCTGGCGTCTAAGTAGCTTACAACGATGTATCTATTGTCAAGATTTTGTCACAAATGGAATCGATCGACAAGATCTTCTAGACGTAATGACAAATAACAATTATAGAGATCACAGAGATTTATAATCGTTTACAGTAGCGAGAGAGAGAGAGAGAGAGAGAGAGAGAGAGAGAGAGAGAGAGAGAGAGAGAGAGAGAGAGAGAGAGAGAAAGAGATATTGATCATGATAATGATAACGATAACGAAAAGAGAAAATGCTAATATCACTGTAATGTTTAAAAATACATGTTGAATATGTTGACGAAGATAAATATATATAAAATTAATACAATGTGACATACCTTCATAAAAACCATGGTAATATACATAAGTATTTGAGAAATTAGATTGAATTGCTTTATATTTCCCTTTTACATCCAACTTTTACATTAAAAAGAAAAAGAACAAACTAAAGGTTAGAGAGTAGTTATGTAGATTATTCTTAGATGATAAATTATTGTATTATTGTACGTATTGTACCAATTGTGCAATGTGCTTTACCCCAAGGTTAAAAGCTAAATGATCAGTATCTTAGATAATTAATTTAATATACACACCTCTGTCCATGAAGAGCCTATCGTTTTTCTTTTATTTAAATAAATAAAATGCTATTGATGTAAAATTTCAAATAAAAACTGTAATTGTATAATAAGACTAAAACTACTTTATTATATCCAATTTACATTGATGTAGCGTTAAGGCGTTTTTACACATCGAAGAACGATATGGAACAAAAAGTAGATGTCTCTGATAATTTTTTTTTCTTACTTTTGTGAGTTTCTAATTTTGCGCACATGTTTTATATCTTAAGTGACGTTTGTGGCACATAAGAAACTTTTCCTCTATAATTGCAGCCTTTTTATCTTTCTACCCTAAAAAGCTAAATATTAATTATGATAATTCCGCCAAGTTAATGAAGGTGTTGTTGCTTGTTTTTGAGCCGTTTGTATTGTTTGGTGGAAAGATTAATGGATTGAGATTGTTCTCGGGTTGGCTGCTACTGAGTCTACGATATTTCGGCACGGTCAATCTGGAATCAGGTTCCGAACAACCGATCAACCAATAAGATGTCACCCTACCCTTGCCCTTCAACTCCACCTCTCCTCTGAGCTCAAGATCGAATGTCCCGAACTTGTCCAAGATAGTCTTCGTCGCTTTGGAGACGTGTATTCTCAAAGCTGTGAGACAAATTATATAATTAAGCTTATTTTTAATTCTCTTAAGTGGGATTAAAGACTTGATGGGAAAGTCTTTCAATTTTTAAAGCTTAAAATTTTTGAGTTTTTTTTGTTATTGTCTAATAACAGGATTTATCTTACGAAGACCGGAGGATTCCATTCGAGATGCCGTGTTTACGGTGTCGCCGAATAGGCAATAATGCGGCATCTTCTGACCCACCACTCCAGCGCAAACTGGACCGCTATGCACCCCGATCCGTACGCTCAATTGAGTATTCTGTTTGTGCATTATGGTGAACGATCTGACGGCGTCCAATATCGCTAAAGCCATCAGTCCAATCTCTCTCGCGTGTTCGTCGCCGTTTCTCTCTGGAAGACCAGACGCCACCATATACGCGTCTCCTATTGTCTCCACCTGCGAATCAATTTCAAAATCATTTCTTTTCTCAAAGTCATTTCAGAATTTGTTAGAATTTGGAGGTTGAATGAACCCTGGCGCAAATGCGCTTCTTTCTTTTAAAATAAATCATTTATGTGTTTTTATTCAGTTTATTTTATTACATGTCTACCTTGTAAACATCGTAGAATCCAATAATACTGTCGAAGGTACTGTACAAATCATTCAGGAAATCCACGACCTCCATAGGTGTGCTCTGCGCGCATAATACTGTGAAACCGACGATATCGCTGAAGTAGATAGTGACGCACTCGAATTGCTCCGGCTGCACCATCTCCCCAGCCATCAACTGACCGGCGACTTGTCTTAAAAAAAAAAAAATCACCATTAAAAAGAACGAAGGAAATTGGCAAAGCAATGATTTCGGTACCTCGGGAGCACTTGGTACAGCAATTCCTCGCTGCGACGCTTCTCCAAGCTCAATTGCTCGGTCTTCTCCTCGACGAGCGCCTCCAAATTGTTGGCATATTGCTCCATTCGCCGTAACAAATCGTCCATTAAATTCTCGCAATATCCTCTGAAATATGAATGTAATTTTTTATAGTATATACATATATATTTGTTAACATATTTTTACATTTGTACTTTCCACAATTTAATGGTATGCGAGCAACTCAGTCATGAAGAGAGGATAACAATATATGTATATATATAATAATAATGTAAATATATTTAAAAAATCAGAGCATGATGTGATGTGAATGAGTCGTTCGTGTGCCGCATTGCGGTTAATTGAAAATACGCGACTGGTCTCGGGAGTTACACCCGGTTTTTCGCCCGAGACACTACCGTTCTCCTGATTTGAAATAAAAGTACTTCATGATTCCTCGTATTGTGCCGCGAATGGTGTGGAAGCTAGGTCGTTCGTCAGGAACTTCGTGCCAACACTTCTCCATCAGTGAGAGTATATCTGGCGGACAGTCCTTTGGTGCAACTTCCGGTCTCAAGGGAGGATTCTCCGACGCTGATACTCTATTCACGATCTTCACAGCAAAGGTATCAAAATGACATAGAGAAGTTGTGCTAAAATTAGTAAAACAAGACTGAAATGGATCGCACCTCTTGCGCCGTCATAAAGGTCCTGGCTATCTCGTATGGGCCACCGCGGACCACTATCTCCTCCAGGATAATCGCGAAGCTGTAAACATCGCCTTTCTGCGTCGCGGCGCTTCCGGGTGTTATCGTTAACGGCAAAAGTTCCGGAGCGATCCAAAGTAATTCTGTAAATAAAAATCATATTGATGTCGATTTTTAACACATCAATCATATCTGCTGTCTAAATTCTTTGGAGTGGAACAACGATCACTCTAAAGAGTGAAAAATTGAACCAGTTTTGAAAGAGAGTGGCTCAATTTTTATAATCTTTAAGAGTGAGATTTCAGAGTGATAATCCATTCTAAAAGTTTTTAAAGAGTTTAAATCGTTTATATTTTTTGATGCAACTTACTGATGTAATAACTTTCGTCCATAATCAAATCGGAAGGTGTGGTGAGAGTTTTGAGGCCGAAATCCGAAATTTTTAATACGAAGCGACCGTCGATTAGGCAATTACACGATCGTAATTTTCCGTGGGCGGAAACCTCGCTGGTATGAAGATAAGACATACCCTACGAGGAAGCAATCTCTTTACCATTTTCACTTCATCTTATTTATACATATAATATACCATTTAATTACAACGATCTATTATAGATCATGTAATATTAATCAAAATATAATATTAAGTTATATACAAATAGTTAAATATGTTAGGATACATTGACTATAACTTAACGAGAAACACAACTTCTGCACCTGCATCTACCTTGACGATATCGTGGATCAGAGACATTCGAAAATTCCAGTCCAACTTAATCGCCTCGTTTTCCAGAACATCCTTCAACGATCCTCGAGGACAATATTCGGTAAGAATTAAGACAGTCGGTGATGGCGAACAGAGACAAGCCCCGATAAATCTAGCAAGCAATTCAATTTATTAAATTGGCAGTTTAAAGCTGTGGCAGCGATGTCACGTTTATTGAATGCTATCGAAGAAATCTTGTGAATGGTCATCCTTTTATTATCTACAAGAAAGAAAATACGGAGAAAAATTGTGTCTACTGTTAAAAGACAAAGTACCTCACGGTGTTTTCCGACGTGACGTCCCTGACCTGTTTGATTTCCCAGAGCAATTTCTTTGTCACGTCGACTACTTTCTTCTTCGTGATCTTCTTGATAGCTACTCTCTCGCCCTTGTATATCCCAATAGTGGTAAAAACTGTCGTAGGCGGCAACGATTCACAACTAATCTGCGAACCGCGACGTATCCTCTGTTCTAATCCGTAATTCTATATGTGATTAAGTAAAAAAATCAGTTAAGTTACGATTTATAAATCATATATACTTTTTATTTATAATATTTTATAATAAATAAAGTTAAGTAATCTCTTATTGTTCTGTGCACGTTATGCTCAATCATAATTTAGCGCTCACGTTTGCGTCGGATATCGCTTGGTGTAAATTTATCTTCGATGAGAATTGCTTTCCAACTTCTAGAAGCAATTCTTCGGGTCTTACACGCCAGGACATGTTATTGAGATCGGCAGATAATCGCAAATGTCTATATAAAGAAATTTTCTTACATTAATTAATACGATTTTATATATTCTTCACAAATATTTAACATTCAAAAATTCTACATTCATATCGTCATCAGGGCTTTTTAGCAGCGACATGTTTTGGTTTCATTTTTTTATATTCATATTATTATTTAAATTTGGATCGCGCGTGTGAATATAAAGATGAATTACATGAAGCATATACCTGTATAATAGACACGCGGCTGTAATCGCAGCGAGTAGAAACACAGCGAGCGCTATGCCCGTGTAAGCTACAAACGTATAAGCTTCTCTTCTTGACGTGCAGTCCGGATCGTTTCCTAGGAAACCGCACTCTGGAATATTTAGCGGAGGTCCTTCTCTTCCTCCCGGCCAGTGGATCTTCTTGCCAGTCATAGGGCTGTATTCTCGATTTAATCCTAAATAATGAGCCACTACTTCGAACCTGTAATATGCCAACGCATTGACAATTGACAATTTTGACAATTTGTCAATTTTTTATATGGTATTATTTTTATAAAAATATAACATCAATATGATAACTTTAGACCGACTCAATTGGTTCTCATATTGCGTCTTTATAGAATTTTTTTCTATAATGTTGAACAAATTTTTTTTCCTTAATAACACGATAATCTGCGACATTTAATTTAGAAAAAAATTATACGGATTTGCAATTTACGAGACACCTCTTGATAAGGTATAAGTAATAAAATCGTGTGGAACACAATTAATGGCATGAATTTTAAGTGACCTTCCGGTAATGGGATCTAGATCAAGAATGCTGTAGTCCGCGTCACGATCCCCATTGTCATCTATCCTGACATGACCTGTAATACCCATGAAGTCTCGATCCCACATTCTCCTTGTTATAGATATACCGTCCCTGATATCGCCGCCTTCGCCTAGAGTTTCGTTCAGCGCAATCCCTAACAAGTAAACACCGTCGTAAAATGCTCCAACGAAGAAATTCACCTGCGGAAAAAGCAAGAAATTCACTCGCTTGGATTGATTCTCTTGATTAATAATATTGTACTAAATGCTTATTTGCTTTAAAAGAATCGCATTATGCCCTTTTAGGATTCTATATTATATAGAATTATTATTTTAATGAACTTACTTCTTCGCCCTCTGAAAATGAATAATTGTAATTGATTTGCGCACGATATTTGACGCTGTCAGCGAAATCTTGAAATCGTGGGCTAGTGGGTTGAAGGAGAGACACTCTCAGCAAAGCCTCGTAAGCCTTCCTGGCATTGGCATCGTCGTCGTCTCCGACCTCCCAGTCGTGATCGCCCCAGTACGAACCCTTAAAATTTATTTAGTCGATTTAACATTGACGAGAAAGTGTTATCCGTAATAATTTTGCTTGTCACGTTGATTTATGACGGGTATTCTTTTCTCACATGTTTTATAATGCCTTACGTGAAATATCTCGACGTCGAAGAAAGCCCAATCCCCTCTTGTCATGCCTAATTCGTGGGCAGCCAGCATAAATCTTCTGACGAGCATTCCGCGCACGCTGAGTATCACAACTGTTCAAAATTATTATTTTTTGAATTACCATTAAAAACACACAGCGTCTTAGCATTGCGATTTTTTGTCACCGCATGGAAATATTTTTATGTTGACGTTTCAGAATTCGATTAAAGATATGTTTTACACGTATTTCCTAACCAAACAAAAAAATATGAAAAAATAATTAATTCTTCTACATATCGTTAGGTATTTAAAAGTAATACAAATGTTTGGTAATTATTTAGAATCTGGACAAAAGTTATTTTCAATGAAAAGTAAACATGTTTTTAAACAATAATTAAGATAAAATAAAAAAATGTTTATTTAAATTTTGAATTATAAAATTATATTGTTAAATACAAATATCGCTTTATTGGACATATATTGCTTTATATATATAACATTCATTTTTTACGAAAAGTTTTCCAATTTTAGTCACTTTTTATATATAGAAATTGTACATTTGATATATCCCTACATATAAGAGATTTATCTAATAATTCAAAAACAAATTCAGAGCTAATTTAAGTCTTTCAGGGGACACCCTGTAAGCATAAGACAAAAGCACTCACTTCTAGCGTACATACTCGCGTCGCGCAGGTAAAGGTGGTACGATTCGTCCTCGGAGTTTCCGTCTAACTCCCTCACAAATTTTAGGAGTCCGTCTTTACGCAGACCATACTCCAGATTCTTTCCTACCGTCAGCGAGAACAAGTCCGACCTGTCCAGTATAAGCGCGACGTGGGACCAACCGAACTCCTTGAAAACGCTGGCGAAAACTAGCCGCAATCGACACTGGCAGTACGACATCCTCGTTAAAGTGGGATACTTGCTTTTGTCTTTGAAAATTCCCTTCGAAAAGATAAAAAATATATTAAGATAAAAAAATCCATCCTGTGACGACAAGAAAATATTTAGACTCTATTGTGTGATTTTATTTCTACATATATAGTTAAAACAACATATAAAAAAAATCATATCAATATAATTTATGATAATATATTACATGTATGTATAAATAATTAGACAGAATATGGTGACAATTATTACAAAAAATTAAAGAAACTTTGGACATTGTTATCATAATTCCGAGCTTAATGAATTTTACGAGGGCTAAAGTAACACACACAGTACGCGAGAGAATTTATCTTTCTTACACCGTTCTGCGTCGTATTATAATTAGCGCGTAGCTAATTAAGATATTAATGATATTATGTTTAAAATATAAGATATCAGAACTGCGCAACATTAACTATCATGAATAATGCTTACACTAGAAAGAAAGTTTATTAATTGGAATTCTGATTGAAAATGGATAAATTAGAATTTTCTGCGCTTGAGTCATTTATAATTCTAGTTGAAATAATCAAAATTCTGATCGATCAGAATCTTCTGGTTCGTTCATTTTTAACCAAAAATTTTTCTCCATAAAACAAAACTCAATGCAACAATTGGAGGAACAACAATAAAAAAGAAAAATTCTTAGAGACTCTTTCGCAGCTTCTTACCGACGTTTCGTTCTTCCATTTATGGATCCTTCCAAGGATACCGGATGTGACTGACAGTTCACCCTCCGAGGGAGGCTTGGTTCGCAAGAAAGCGATAATCACGTTTCACATAAATGAATATTAACGTTGACACGATATGACTTACAAGAGAATACACCCAACTGTCCCCTTCCGATTTTAATGAGCTTTTATATAGTATGTTGATCTATAGACAAAAATTAGATATACAATTTTTTATATCGGCTGAGTCGTTAAAGGGGTGAAAGTTCTCTTTAAAAAATCGGTTTTTTTCTTACGAAGCAAATATCGTTGAAACTATAAGAGATAGAAAAAAAGTCCCATAATGAAAATTGAATGGCTTTAAGAACTTTAGTAGAACAGTGTGTGTACTCTTTAGAACTCTATAATACATTTTTATAAATAAATAATTAAACATTTTTATATTACAGTTTTAAAAGTATTTTTAAAGCTTTTTTTTTTTCAATTTTCATTCGGGAAATTTTTTCTATATCTTATAAAGTTTTGATGATATTCACTCTGAAAGAAAAAAAAACAGATTTTTTCAAGAGATTTTCAATCCTTCAATTCAACCGATATAAAAAAAATATGCATATCTCTTTATATGATTATAGAATAAAACATACTAAAAGCTCATCAAAATCGGAGGGAGTCAGTTAGTTGTGTTCTCTTTTGTTAATACCGGAGCATACGATACAACATCAAAAATGTTGGAAAATGGAGGAAACAAAATGGGAGATTAATCAAATTTAACACAATTTTACGCAATATTGTAATTGTTGGAAACGATAGCGTTTCTCTAGTCGAATAATCTTCAGGGATCACCGTTGCGAGATTAATTAATGCTAAGTTATGCAAATGCAAGATTTAAGTTAATTGACTGGACGAAAAGTGTATGTTGGGGCTAGTAATCAGATGTTGACACGTGTATCGGCAGTGCGAAAGTAAGTGCGATTTACTTGATCACCCATGCCGGTGATGATTGGACTATTCCAGTAGGCGGCGAGACGTGCCACAGGTTCCAGGGCGAAAGCGCAGGCCGGTCCAACAAATGCGATCACGTTGTCCCGGAAATGCATGTCTGCTGCTAAACCGGGTGCTCTCGCTCCGCTGCAGGTCGGATAACTGAGGAATTTCAACATTTCTTGTTGATCGCATCTCAAGTTTCATTGATTAAAATCAGCATAGTAATTATCAGATTTCAACATTGTCAAATATATTATAGTATATACAAAAGATCTAGCACTTTTCCAATAAGTTTTTTTACTAGTATTATAAAGTTGTTGTTTATTATTTGACGATTTAACCATAAACTCTTCTCTTACTTTTAATTAATTTATAGCTACTTATATTAGCAAAAAATTTTAGTTGCAGGTTAAGGAATTAAATCATTATGAAAGTTTGAAAAATAGGATTTTATGTTATATTTTTTAAAAAATTACATATACGCCGCGTGTACTTATATAAGTACACGTATAAGTGTAATTATATGTATAAGTAAAATTTATAAGTAAATTTAAATTTATAAAGAAAACATAGATCGATAATAATATAGGAAAAGGAATCTTTTTTTTCGATTAAAGCGGATTTTGGTGCTTGATAATATTCATGCAAATTTGCAAGTATATCTTTTGCGATACATTTTTTGTAGTGTTTTAAGCTACTTATTAGCATTGTTATTAAATTAATCAATGTAATTTGTGTGATGTTATTTCTAGTTTTAATTTATCATTGTGTTTCAAGTTTGACAAACCAAATTGGAACGTAGTTTATAGAATTTAAATCTGTACTTTTTTGCAAGATTCATTTCAATTGAAAAGAGGATTCTTTGTTATTTGATATATACGTATTTTATATTTTTTCCTACAGTTGTATTATGAATTATAATTATAGGAAATAAAATAATGAGTTGACATGTTCTTCTCAAAACGATGAAATTAACAATTTTTTTCATTCGGTTATTTCAAATTTGATAGATATATTGTATATATTTCAACGATTTTGTGATATACATTTAATCTCATGAAGTAAATTTTTGATAGAATATTTAGTTTTTTATCGATAAAATTAAAATCAATTTTTTTTCTATGAAATTTTATTCTCACAAAGTAAAAGTGTATTATCCTCAGATATCCTATTTCATTTTTTAAAAATCAAATGTAACTTTAATTTTAAATATATTTATAACATGCAAAAGTAGTCAATAAATTCTGAAACATGAGAATGTTCATTTCTTTAGCTAATAATTAAATAAGAATCGTATGCTTATCTTTTAACAATGATCCAATTTCCGTTAATGCAGAAATGTACAATCCTGCATTGATATGGAAATATATCAACTATATATGCGTGGTTAATATCAATCTGCGAAGACGCACAAAGCGGACGTATATGATGGATCGTACATATCATGTATTAAAGCGCAAACATAGTACGATTGGATAACCGGGGGTGGATGCGACAGGGATTCGCTGAGATACGTTCTCCCTCTCTCCTGTGCAATTGCACATGACGTACATACGATAACCGCGTCCTTGAGGAGCGAAAAGCAAAATACGCATTTCGGTGCGAATATATTCTGTATATGCGCGTACGCGCAATTAGCGACGAATGGCAACGATATAATCACGACGCATTCGACACGTCAGGATAGGGCCGCGTTGCGTGAGCAACAGCTCGAGATATAATGGCACATTATAATTGTACCTGATGAATGGCCAATGATTGAATTCCTATCGATCTGCGTTAATTGAAAATGTCGGGAATGCGGCGCGGCGCGCAGAAATGTCGCGTTCCGGCTGCATCTTCCGTAAATGTTTACAATGACAATGCGGAGAATTCTGCGATTTGCTAGCATCGTTCGCGTACGAAATGTAATCGTTAATCAAAATAAATGTTGGAATTTTTCTCGGGAGTTAATTCTTTTCTAAAATAATATTTACAACGTACAAAGATTATGGCACACACAAAATTTAAGCAATAATATATGTAAGTAGTAGGCGAATCAACATTTTCAATTTGCTACTTCTTACGTTTTACTGATACCTACACCTTACTTTTTTGTGTAGCCTTAAGTAGTAGGCACATAACGCTTAAAAAGCGTTAAAAAAGCACTAAAAATATATGTAAGTACTTTTTTAGCGTTTTACAAGCACTGCTGTACTATATTTGGAAATTTTCGTACAACAAATGATAATTATTGTCAATGAATTGTTAGAATTTTCGTCGGGAATTAATTTATTAAAAGAATAACTATTTTACGTTGCAGTTAATTAAATGCCGTTGTAAAAAAAGCGCCATTTCGGTGTCATTACTGAAATGGTATTATAATTATAACATTATGATAATGTGTGTGAGTGTTTTTAATTCACGAGCAACTTGTGTTGATATATGATTATAACTGAATTGTCGTAGGAAATTAACTATTAACCTTTAAAGAACAGAAAATTGCTTTTAAAATCTTACAGTTCTTTTTAGTGAAATTTGTTACAACTCATTATTTCATTAGTCTCTTAAGATATTATTAATTATTTCAAAATCATTATAATAGCTTTTCTGTCCTCTAAAAGACAGAAAAAAGGCATCTTAAAAAAATAATTCTTTTTTTGGCCCTCGTTACAATTAATTAAACGTCTGTATAAAGACGAGATGTCAAGCGAAATGGTGATTATAATATTATCTATTGGGAGAACATGGCGAATTACACACGTGTAATCCACATTCAATAGACAATATATAATTGTCAATGAATTGTTGGAATTTTTACGAATTAATTCAATAATTAGATTGTTCAAATAATGATTGTTTTACATTTACATACATCACACTTAATTAAATGCCGTTATAAAAATATAATACATTCGGTGTCACATTACTAAATGATTATAGAACAATGAGAAAACAATTTTTTTGTGTAATTAGAATTACAAATATTAAAACTTTTTCTCTCAATGAACAACGTGTAGTTTAAAAAATATAAATATTATCATTAAATTATTGAAATTTTTGTTGGAGATTAATTCATTAAATACTGACCACTTTACATTGCAGTTAATTAAAAGCTATTATAAAGCGCGGCATTTCGATGCCATTCCTGAAGTAATGATTACAACCATGTGTAATCCCAGCGTAGCAGATGATATTACACTGCATAATGTAGACGGGCGCGGCAGTACATACTCCGTATGTACGTCAATATATTTGAATATAGCGAACATCGCACGTAAAAAATAATTTTCATTCGTAGATAATTCGTCGTTCTTCTTTTCCGTTGACCTCGAAAGGGTTGAGCAGTTGTACATACAGTTAACATAATGAGCGCATCTTTCCATGTAAGTGCCTGTTCAATTGTATCAATGTAATGACGCAAAAAGGGTGCACGTGAGCAACAAAACGAATTATAACGCATGAAATGTAACGCAACGACTGAAACGAGATATAAGATTGTGTATCACAATACAAAAAATAATGACATTTTATATTTCATTTTGTCTGATATAATAAAATGTCTTTCTTTTATTTATGTTCACATATTACAATATATGTGACTATTTATATATAGACTTGATCTGGAATATTTTTATAACGTATTGTTTCCCGATTGTCCTTTGACCGTATTTTTACCCCTGATGTTAAAACAGTAGAAAATATTATACAAAATCACATTATTAAATCAAAGTGACAGGAATACGAAACCGTTATCTTTAATCATTAAAGAGGCGTTTCATAAGAGAGAATTACGGCGAAATACATCCTTTATACATTTTTCATCCGGTATATGTTTTTTGTTATCATGCATTGAGGAAATTAAACGTTGCGATTGTTAAATTAATTCGATAAGAGAATTTGATAATTGTCTTTATTGTTATTTCTTACTGGATAGCGTTATAAATGATGGATGATCTTCCTCCTTCGGTTTTCCGATCACAATATAAATAAAGTTATCGTATACCTTGCTTGGACTTTGCGCAGCTGTACGTTGTGAACTTTCAGGAACTCATTCACTTCCTCCAATGCCAGATCGACTGCTGGACCACATCGCTCAAGATCAAAAGGGCTGTCGAGATGGGATGCCATAAGAACGCCCACGTTATATACCCGCAGAGGATTTCCGTAATTCACTGCGAAGTGGATCAAAAGACATGAATTCGTCGCGTCACAAATGTAAATATCGACAAGCATTCAAACGCTTAATTAAAAGTAATGCTGTTTGAACGAGGGTTTGAAACTGAAAACGAACGTAACGAAGAATAATACCCTCCTGTCTTTTCTGTATTCACGAAAGATATGTGTGTGTGTGTGTGTGTGTTACTCTCTTTAAAAATCCCTGCAAATTTAATTCAAAGCTGTGTTCATAGATACCTATCAATTCAAGATATCTCTTGAAATGAAATATGCTACAATATTAAATAAATTAGATACATTTTTATAGGCTCTCTAATTAAATTAAATTAAATATTCTGAAAATCAAACAATAGAAACTTTGTAATTAAAAAGTTACGACTGCGGGAATAACTTAAGACTCGAATTTGTTGCAAATCGAAATGAGGTCAAGACGTTAATTCACGCAACAGAAAAATGCCATTGAAGTGTCGCTATTCGTTGGAGAAATCACATAGAAAATACATTCATTTTATTCATATGCGCGATTACACAGGGCATCAGAAAAGCAAAAGGGGACTGTAAAGTAGAATACTGAACTACAAGCCATGCATACCCAATGAGCTTATTCCCGTCATCGAGATAGAAATTTAAAAAAAAAACAAATCGATAAAATCGCGCAAAACATTCTTAACAAATGCGTTTATTAAATAGTAGAATAAAATATTGATATACTGATCGCACATTGAAACGTTTATTAGCACTTTTATATAGTACGTCGGTAAACTTTTGATAAAAAAAACATTGATAGACGTGGGTGTTTAAAAAAAAATATATCTTGCTAGTGAAATGCGTATTTCTTAAAGTACTTCATTTAAATGTAAGTAATAAATTGTTATAATTCGGTAATATTTATAAAAACACATTTTAATTGTACTTGAGTAACTTTCATCTAAAGAAAATTATTCGTTTCTCTTTTGTTACCAATTATATTACAACAGTAAAGGAAAAATAGCGCAGATGTAAATTAAAAAAATTGTTGTATTATAATTATCACCTTCACAATTATAAAAAAAGACTAGGAATATATGCGCGCGTCCACGTAAATCGAATTTCTCGTCTGTAAGTTAAATAAAATTAACATAAATAAAAATTACAATAAAATTGCAAATTCCGGGAAAGTTTATTATTAAAAGTAGCAACAAAGTATACAATATTCTGACGAAAAATATTTTTATAAATGAGCAAATATCTTACCGCGCGGTACACTCACGAGCCACGACACTTGCGAAGCAACAACGACCGACAGCACGAACAACCTCAGCTCCGTGAGCATAACGGTGAAGAATTCTTTTGAATTACGGAGAAAGGAAGGGATGATCTGTACACGTGGGTGGTGGTGCGTGTGTCAAGTTGAAAATAAAAAAAGAAAACGGAAAAGAGATATCACACGTCGGACCGCCCGCTGAGCCACGTCTAAACTTTCGCGGGGAAGGATTCAGCCTTATATAAGGGTTGATACAGTTCCGCGTAGCCGTGGCAATGCGCAATTCAACGCGCCCCTCGGAGGCACCTGCGAGTGGAAAAAAAGAGGGAAAGAAAAAGAGAAAAAAAATGTCATGGTGCGCTAATTATGTTTCGTGCAGATACAAATTATGGGATATAAATTTGTATAAATAAATTCTCGCAATCTTCGAATTTTATTCCCCGATGCTTTCCGCAGCCGCAAGGGGTGGATTCGTTCGTACAATAATCAAGGCTTTCTCTCGACTGATCTCCTCTCGTACAAGAGACAAATGTCTTTCAATTTTTTCCAGGTTTCGCTCTCCGGTGAACATGTGCGAAAGGATCTTGTGTCAATTCTCGTGAAAATAAATGCGGCGAATCCGAACCTCGCTTTCAATTCCTGACAGCAATTTTACCGATTGCACTCATGCATGGTGTGGATGGTAAAGCCGTGTATACCTATATAGCGAACGAACAGCGAATGCAAAAGTTTGTGTTGTTATTTGTTACATAAAAGTCGCACAAGTTTAATTGTTATGAGCAACGAACATCGAATCTGATCGAATGCTAGTATTCCAGTGTATAATCGAGAAAAAGAATAAAAACTGCTCACAAATACACAAACACGAATGTTTGAACATTCGCGTTCAGTGTTCGTTCACTATATATATATATATATATATATACGTATATATACGACTTAATAAAATTATCTGCTCCTTTATAAGTCAACGCACTTATAATCGGTTCTTATTTTAAGATCGTCTTACGACATTATTTATGTCTTAAGATGCTAAGAGGCCGGTATTCATAGTCGGTTCTTATTTCAAAACTGTCTTAAGTAATGTCTTAAGATGCTAAAGCGGCCCTCTGATTGGTTCGTAACTCCTCAAGACTGAACTTAAGACGGTCTTGAATATAAGAACCGACTATGAATACCGGTCTCTGATTGATTCAGGACGTCTTGAGACTGTTCTTCGGACAATCTTATTAAATATAAGAGTCGATTATAGATATCGCCTATCGATTTCTTAATTCAAACGTGATTTTTTTCTTATTGTTAGTGCAACCGCATACAAAATACATCGAGGACGGTTGGATCTGAAACACTCTGTACAAAATATGCGTGCTGGGAAATCCAAGACGAGAATCCGTGTTGAAAGTGCATCGATTCGAGGTAGCGATGGCTCCGTACGAGCCTTTCAGCAGAATGAAGTTGCATTATGGCGCGCTGCGTTAAACCCCGAGGGATTTTCAGGCTGTAGTGGTGCTTCTATCGGGTACAATATATATATATATATATGGTGAGCACGCGAAGTTCTACAGCGTGTCCGACAACAAAGGTAATATAAAGTTATGGTCGGATTGATTCAGGGATGTCTATATGATTTCTCGGAGCTTTTGTAGGTATCACCTGTAGAAAATTAATGGATCTATTAAGCTTGCAATATTTGTTTGATTTTTTAAGGGCGACTGTTACCAACGCCAATTAACTTATTAATCGACGATTAATCCATTGGAATTGACCAATCGCGTCTGTCATCAAAACTAAATGATAAATGCGATTGGTCAATCATTCCAATGGACTAATCGTCGATTAAGTTAATCGGTGTTGGTAACAGTCGCCCTAAAAATGTAATGTTTCTGACACCCTACATTATATACCTTATTCTTATTATATATATTTTTATAGCTTTTGAGGATTTACAATTAAATAATGATCGATTCAATTTTCTTTACATAAATAGAAATGCAAAATTTTTTTTATTGTAACAATTTGTCTCAAATATAACAATATGTATAAATAGCATTCATACATTTAACAAAATTTTTAAGCTTATAGACACTCCACGCAAGTAATGAAGGGTTAATTACAAAATATTAATCATATACTTTTGTGTAATAATTTGTTAAATAACTAAAAATTATGATTTATTATTGTATAGAGAGAATTGTATTATATATTGATATAATTTTAATATAATTTTATTAAAATTAAAATAAATATAAAAAATATATATGTATAAAACATAAAATTACTCTCTAGAATTTTTAGAGTAAATTATCTTTTTGAGGAATATGAAATCTCATTCTTTGAAAGATTGAAAATTGAGTCATTTTTTTCAAGGCTTAATTTTTATTCTTTAGAGTGAGATTCGCACTCCAAAGAATTTAGACAGTATAGATATCTATTTTAATAGTTTATTTTGCGCATTTTACTGTCTAGTAAAATTAGCGATAATGTCTTAATAAAGATTAAGGAAATTTCAATATTTATTTGTAAGCTAGCATTTTTCATCAAATATAAAAAAGTTAATACTCTTTAGTATTCTGATTATCATGTTTATTATAGATAGCCAACAGTTTTGCTAACGCCTTATTTTTTGTTACATCTCTTCCTTTCATACTGCTTTTGTAACTCCCCGCGATTTATCAATTTTAATGTTATAAGTACACAACAAATTTCTTATTATCACATCATTGCTATTAATACATGTTTTAACATCTTATTATTATTATATCATTATTATTAATATTATTATCTTGTAATAATCGTTTAATTGCAATCGTGTGATTTTTGAAATAAAATAATGTAGAATATATATAATAATATCAAGCTGTGTATCAACATCGACAATTCGAGAGAAACGACACGTAATTGCGCACCAGGAAATTCGATTCAGAAGTTCTCGTAAAGACGGATGCTTAATCCGTGAATGACGCGGCTTTACAGATAACGATGTCGCAGGTAACGAGCCAATTTCTGTCAAAGAAAAACAGCGCAATATGACGAGCCTCCGCAATTCAGCCAATCGGCCAGCAAGGTCATCTGCGATGGCTCTGGACACAAGCCATTCGAATAAGCTTTTTTGTAGCGAGCTTCTCGATTTACGGTATGACGTCGTACATCATCCGATCCACGTGCGAACCAAATCATGGCTTTCCGAGACATGTTTGTTCACTTGAAAAATGGCATACGTACAAGTATTTGTCGAGCGATTTATATTAGAGGAGATAAATCTCTTGATAAACAATCCCTTTTAATATTTTGTCCTATATACATTTATTTGTTGCTTTTTAAAAAGGTCAATAACAATCATGCAATCATTATTATAGTAATCCTTTTATCAAAAATCTTGGCAGCTTGTTTAAAAACACAGTATTTTGTTCTCTCTTAAGCGATAATGCCTTAAAGATTAAGGAAATTTCAATATTTATTTGTAAGCTAGCATTTTTTTATCAAACAAAAAAGTTAAGAGAGAGAGAGAGGTTTTGTAACTATTTTAATGCCTATATCCTAATGGGTGCAGTTCACTTTTTTGATAATATAATAATTACTTTGATGTATTATTCGATTAACCAATCGGAAGAAAGAATTTTATTAATTGACCAATCAAAGAGAATGCTTTAAAGCATTTATTGTAGTATTTAGTGGATCGTAGCCAAAATTACAGTATTTTCGATTAATA